TCTGGGTTTGCTGGCAAATGTTTAGGGCCACCAGAGTTTGCCTGGCTCTGGAGAACAGGACAGATCAGTCTGCTTGTGATTCATTGACTAAGTGCATCAACTCAGAGATGCGACTGTTTCCAATGCCCTCCTCACCCTTTCCTTTAGTTTCCTCTTTTTTCCTTTGAGCACTCTCTGTCTCTACCCAGACCCCACGCTGAAGCTCCTATCCCTCCAACCTGGCTGCCCCAAACTCACATTTCTCATTTAGCAGACACTTAGGTGACACCACCTAGGTATCAGGCCCAGTCCTGCCCACAAAGGCTCACAAGCTACTTGATAAGGGCCCTCTAAGTCAGCCCTGATAAGCAAACGTCAGCTGCCAGACTCACAGCCGGGCTCCCCTAGCTCAGGACCTAATGAGTGCCCAACGATCAGGGCCGTGCGTCCACGGTGGAAGGAGGAGGTGGAGATGTCACTCTGGCCTTGAGCTAAGACATCTTCTCCAAAGAGCTGACACTGGGGGCAAGGCTGAGTCCTGGGATCATCTGTCTGTTTAACTTACATGAACTCACGTGTATATTTCCAGCTAAACTAATGACAGAAAGGGAAAAGAGAATAGGCGTTTTACAAGTGTCAGTGATTCTGCCTGTCATTGCAATCTATGTGCCATGTGTTCTTGGGTCAGACTCCAGCGGTTGCTTCTGTGATGCCCATCAGTCTCTCCCCTTCTTTCTTGCTGGCCAAGATTCTGTTTAGTGCTTTTGTGGCTGTTTGCTCAGAGAAGGCTGAGACCCTCCCCAATCCAGGGGGTAAATCTTGATTAATTAGCTCCAAGCTGATCTGGATATTTCCATTCCTTTTTCCGTCATCAGTTTGGGAATAGAATTATGCTTTGTTTTTGACCTGTGAGACGTTGGGGGTCAGCTTGGGAATGTGGGGAGGGTGCTTTAGTGAAAGATATATTTACTCCTCATTTTCCCTGCCTCTGGATGTTTTCAAGACACATGGAACTGCTGTGTCCTTCTCGGGACCACAGAGGAAGGTCAAGAAAATTGCAGACAGATCAAACTGAGGCTATGAGGGCATGGAGCCATCGAATTAACCATCGGTGGTGCCGCACCACCTTGAGACTTCTTGTTACATGAGCCAGTCAACACTCTGTTATTTAAGCCTCATGAAATAGACTTTCAATTACCTGTGGCCAAAAGTACCCTAAAGGACACTCCCAAGTTGTGAAGATGACAGGGAGTGTTAATCTACTGTTTCCACACTCAGTCCCAGCTCCTTCTATCTCTCACAGTCTGTGTATCTCACACCCTGAGAAATTTTGGAGTTTCAAGATCCATATTTTTTGTACAACATGATCCTTAGTACAAGCCAACAGCATCATCTGAAACTTCGCAGAAGAAATGGTCTGTTCTGAAGCTAGAACAAAAAGTGGCTCAGTGGGACTTCCTGAAGTTTGGGGCCAGATTGTATGCATGGGAGATTGAAGGAATTTAACGGGCAGTTGTGACTATGCCGGCTTCTGCCCTTGTCTTTAGAATGTAAACCTTCATGAGATGCAACTAAGCTGTTCAAGAAGCACTGGGTACAATGGCAACAGAGACTAGCCCCAAAGAAGTAGAACGAACGGACCATTATAACTTGGTCGACGAGACACAATTTAAACAGCAGAGTTGAAGCAGAGGATAGAACACAGCTGCATGCAAAGAGCTCTCTTTAATGGGAACTGGTTGGTGGGGAAGGCAAGTCTGGAAGGATTCCTTCTTCTCCTAAGGCCTGGCTTGGTTATGCTGCGGTAATAAACAGCCCCAATTCCTGTGGTCCCCCAAAACAATAAAGGTTTCCTTCTCACTCATCCTGCATGGCCACTGTGTGTTGGCTGTGTCTTTGCTGTGCATTACCCCCACGCGTGGACTCAGGCGGACAGAATCGCCACTCTCTGGATCATTGCCACTCACTGTGGTGGATGGGAAGAGCGCTTGGAAGGTCCTGCATCAGCAATTCAATGCTCCAGCCCAGAAAGAGCAAATGCCACTGCAGCCCACACCCATCAGCCAGAGTTAGTCACATGACCTCACCAAGTCTAAGGAACTCAGGAAGTGAAATCCTGTTATCTGTTCAAAGATGAAAGAACTGGGGATGTTAGGTGAGCACCACCACAGTCTCCCACTTTGTCCAGTGATCTGAGATCTATGTGCACAGACAAGCTAGAACAAAGGTCCATTCTCGTGCACAGGAGGGTTCATGTGGACCCCTCGTTCTCTCTTGCTTACTCTGTGTTTCACCCAGTGATGGGTGGTGATTCCAGGGGGTATGCGTCCCGCCAGCATCCTCCCGTGCAGTGTTACCCTCTCCCCGTCTTGGCCTCTGACCCTTTATTTTTATTTACTTTTTAGTACTAACGAGGATCGGCACTGAAGAAGTCACCCAGTGTTCTCTGGAATGCCATCATTAGGTGCTTGCCCTCTTTATTGCTCGGTCCAGTCCTGTCTCCCTTTGTTCAAACACACAGAACCATTTGTCTACCAGTTACTGTGCTCAAGCCCTCAGGGTGCCTGCTTCCAGCCCAAATCCCTCTTCCTAAAGATCCTTTGGGTGCCCCTGGCTGCTCCAGCCAGGCCCTGAGCTCAGTCTCCTTGCTTCTGCTCGCACTGCCTATTGGCAGAAACATGTGCTATTCCCAACAGAAACCAGCGGAGAGGGGCTGAGCCAGCCATCAGGGTGCACCGTGGGAATGGAGGGCAGAGATGTTGGCACTAGGACACTGGATGCTTAGGCTACTGGATTTTTTTCATCTGACTGGGCAGCGAAGTAAGGAGATGTATAAAGAGCAACAGCAAAAAATTCACGGTGGCTGATCGTATTCATTCCTGAAAGATCTTTATAAAACTGTCCCAGAGTATTTATAAGCATACCTTAGCTACAGGTAGACAGATCTTAATTTCTCCTGCTATAGGGAAATGTAAACTTATCCTCTTCTGGGAGACAGATATCATTTTTTCTTCGATCAAGTCTTTTAAAAATGGAATAAAAATAATAATAGTATTACTACGGATTGTAGGAATAATATATAATATAATTTTTCTTCTCAAGGAGGCTATAAATAAGAGGGCCCACAAAGGAATAGAGGGATATAAGAAAAAATGATTGTTTAAAAGTATAATATGTAAAAGTATATGTGAAATAGTATATATGTAATCATAAAATTCTTGCATAAATTTTTTTTATTTTGGTAAAATTTGTATATAAGATTATATATATATATTTCAGGTGTGCAACATCATAATCAATATTTGTCTACACTGCATAGTATTCATCCATCACAATTAATTTCCTTTATCCATTTTTCTCTTCCCCCAATCCCCTTTCCCTCTGTTCTCTATATCTATGAGTTTGTTTACTTTACTTTGTTTGTACATTTGTTTTGTTTTGTTTCATTTTATTTTTATTTATTTATTTATTTATTTATTTATTTATTTTTAATCCTCACCCGAGGACATTTTTCCATCTTTTGTTCAGGTAGAGTGGGAGGGAGAGAGAGGAACAGAGAGAGAGAGAGAAACATCAACGTGAAAGGAACACATAGAGTGGCTGCCACCTGCACAACCGACCAGGCCGAGGTACGCGCCCTTAGCGGGAACCGAACCCGGGTCTCTCAGGACCGCAGGCCGACACTCTAACCGCTGAGCCAAACCGGCCAAGGCTGTTTTGTTCATTTTAGATTCCATATATAAATGAAATACTTTGGTATTTGTCTTTCTCTGACTTATTTCACTTAGCACAATACCCTCCAGGTCCATCCATGTTGTCACAAATAGCAAGATTTCTGTCTTCTTTTTTTTTTTTTTTTATAGCTGAGTAGTTATATCACATCTTCTTTATCCAGTCATCCATTGATGGACACTTAACTTGTTTCCATATCTTGGATAATGTAGGTCAAATTGCAATAAATCAATGTTTTTAAAAATATACTTGTCGCCCTGGCCGGTTTGGCTCAGCGGTTAGAGCGTCGGCCTGCGGTCCTGAGAGACCCGGGTTCGGTTCCCGCTAAGGGCACGTACCTCGGTTGCAGTTTGTCCCCGGCCCTGGTCGGTCGTGCGGGTGGCAGCCACTCGATGTGTCCCTTTCACATCGATGTTTCTCTCTCTCTGTTCCTCTCTCTCCCTCCCACTCTACCTGAACAAAAAATGGAAAAATGTCCTCGGGTGAGGATAAAAAAAAAACAAGAAGAGCCCTGGCCGGTTTTCTCAGTGGTTAGAGCATTGGCCCGCGGACCAAAAAAAAATATATACTTGTCATTACTTCAAACTTTTCACGATATAGACCCTTCCACTTCCATTCACACATGCTATTACATCTGAATTAATTAGCTTTACTATATTCTGTTCTTAGGTATTTCAAAACACCAGCCCTTGACCTCTTTTTTGAGGTTGGAGAGGACAGAGTCTTGTATCTTGACAAACGCTCTTGGAGACAGACTGACAGCTTAAGAAAAAAGGAACACTAAGATTTATCAAGACCTGGAGAGAAAGCATATATAGATTTTAAAAGTGAATACAGAAGCTCAGTTATTTCCAGGAGGTGTATGGAGTGTGGGACAATGAATAATCTAGAATTGTTTCCATTGGGTGTTGAATTAGATTCACACGTGCATGTTTCCATGTTCTGGGATTCACTGTAAGCCCTAAGTAAGACGCCAGTATGAGGCCTGGATTCTGGAGTTCATTCCAACCTCTTCTTTACTCTAGGCTAAGAGTAGAACTGTCTGTAAGATACAGGAGTTAGACAATGGACTCCAAAGTTGGAGGTTAAGTAAAAACAAAGGAGGTGCTGACTGCCCACACTTCTGAAATGCTTTCCCAGTGGTAACTGCCAGGCAGGTAAGGTGCTGGGAATGATCATTGGTTTCTTTTACAAGTCACATGGGATCGGAACCTGCAAAATGACAGATGTGTCTATCCATGCCAGCTGAATGCACTTGGCTCCAATGCCACTGTTCTGTTCTTTTTCAGGAGTTGTGTGGGAGAGTGTTCTGCTGAAGGGCCATGAAGCAGCCTCGGACATCACAGAAACATCCAGCGCAGACATGACCATCAAGGTAAGGCGTCTTTTCTCTAGTTTGATTCTCCAAGTGCATCTCTAGTGGACAGTGAGCCGACTTGAAGCTTCATCAAGTCACCCAGACATGATATTTCCTGAAACTTGGGATTGGATTAGGAATCTGCTTGAAGGCTAGAATCCAAGATGTGATTTCCAGTGAGCCTGTTGTACGGTCTCCAGTGAATATCTACATGTAGGTTGTCTGCAAGTGGCAACCCCTTGGGCACAGTGAAGCAAATCTGAAAATTCGGAGCTGAGAAACTGGGCCCCACTGTACATTGTGAAGAAAGGTCAGGAAGGCATAAAGTAACTTTGATCTTGACTCAAGATTTGCACTGATGTCGGAGGGAAGGCAGCACATGGCCCACTCCAGCTGAAACACTAATGGCAGAAGGTTTACAAAATGAGTCATCTGGAAGTCAACTAATTATCACTGTTCAAATTAAATGCATGCGTTAATCATTGCCTAGATTAAGGAATTCATAGCAAAACTAATCAGACTCAACCACTTCCCCTCTATTACTGGATTAAACACCAAGGAACAGTCCTCCTCTCTGGGAATACTGATTATGTTTCAGTCAACCAAGGCTGGGGGGGCTTTCTAACGTTTTTGCTTGAATGATTAGAATTTAAATATGTGTCACAGATTTTTCTTTGCAAAACAAAAAGGAATGTCCTTTTTTATACTGAGCTATAACTAGACATATTTTACTCCTGGTTTTATTAGTAGAGGTTGGATGAATTTATTCAAGCTTTCTTTTGAAAGGTGAAGGCTGAACTTACATTATATATGTTAAAAATGTGAGAGCAAGCAAACAAAGATACCACATTGCAATTAAATGAAAAATGGCCTGATTGGTCCAAAAAACCAACTGCTAACCTAAGTATCCAGTGCTGAAAATTCCTTTGCTTGTAATTGTGTTTAGCAAAATTTGCAAGACAATTATATAAACTGCAGTGATGTGCTGGTGTTTCCTTGGTTTTCGTTGCAAAGATGGAGAAGTTTAAGACGTCTATGGATACAAAGGGATGGGTGCTGATCGTAAAACCTGATGGATTTAGATGCGCTATTGTGGAATGTCATCATTTTAAGAATTAGTTTCTTAGCTCTCATTCAAGAATTAGTTTCTTAGTTTCTGATCCTTAAATGTAGTTGAAGAAATTTAAAGGATGGCAACGACTAGGGTTTGTTTTATAAATGCAAATGGCTTAATCTGATAGCAGGAAGTCTTACTTGAGGTCCATTTAATAAGATTGCTACTTAATCAGTCTACTTATCCTTGGTACCAGGATCTCGCCTGAAGTTTTATTTGAGCCTATCCAGTTTAGATGTCATTCTCATTTTCTTCTCTTTTAATAAATACCTAGGAGTTTTATTATAAAAACAGAGGATTTTTAGTTCACAATAACCAAACCCATTGTGAAGAATGAGCACCATGTACTTTAACAAATTAGGCAAAAATAGAAATGTATTTAAATACACTAATAAATTTGTACAATTAGCCCTGGCTGGTTTGGCTCAGTGGTTAGAGTGTCGACCTGTGGTCTGGAGAGACCCTGGTTCGATTCCCACTAAGGGCACGTACCTTGGTTGCAGTTTGTCCCTGGCCCTGGTTGGGGTCATGTGGGTGGTAGCCACTCGATGTGTCCCTTTCACATCGATGTTTCTCTCTGTCTCTCTTCCTCCCACTCTATCTGAACAAAATATCGAAAAATGTCCTCGGATGAGGATTTAAAAAAATAAGTAAATAAAAATAAATAAATAAATAAATTTGTACAATTAATCAGCAGTTATCCATATTTTTTCCTTTAGTATTATGCTGTTCCCAACCCCACACTGCTTTCTGTGCCCATCCTATCCTTCTATCCATCTTAAGGTACTATTTTTTTCTGAGTCTAAAAGTGCCTGATGTTCATTAATTAACTACAGGCTCCTCATTATATATTTATGTATATATAGCTATTCCTGATTCTCATAGCTACTACACATCCCCTTGCAATATCTGCTATTCCTGATACATTTCTTGGGCCCTGGAAAAACAAAACATTCTGTTGAAACATTGATTACAATACAACCTGACTGACACTTCCCAAAGGGGATAGCAGCAGAAATCACTGAAGTAGTTTGGTTTCCTCCATATTACTCTTCTTGTGATAGATGCATCTATCTTAGTGCTTAAACATTTTCCTTCTGAAAAAGGTGCAACATTTTTTGCAATGTCATAATTGTCTGAATGTTTTTTTTTGTTTTACTATATGTAGCCTTTTAATACCAGATCTTATCTTGAAATGACACTGCCATGCTTCCAAAAATATACATGACTCAGATGAGTGAATTCATTCATAAACAAACTTCTGTCATTCTGAGGAAGCTTGAACTAAGAGCATTAACATTAAAAACACCCTCTGAATGCACTGATGTAATGTAGGGAGGAGCATCAGATAGGCCTGAGCAACAGTTTTAAATCACTCAATGTCATAAGTGAAATTATGAACCCCTTTCTCCCCCCAAAATCAATATGTCCATGTCCTAAACCTCGTACTTGTGAATATGGCCTTATTTGGGGAAAAAAGGGTCTTTGCAGATGTAATTATGTTAATACTCTCAAAAGGAGATCATCCTGGATTAACCAGGTAGGACCTAAGTCCAGTGACACCTGTCCTCATATGAGACAGAAGAAGAAACACAGGTGGAGAGGGCCATGTGAAGAGCCAGAGGGGGGATCCGAGTTACACGCAGGCACAAGCCATGGAACACACAGAGCCACCAGGAGCTGGAGGGGGCTCTGCCGACACCTTGATTTTGGCTTTCTGGTGTCCAGAATTGTGAGAGAATAAATGTCTGTTGTTTTAAGCCACCCAGTTTGTGGTCATCTGTTACGACAGCCACAGGAAGCTAATATGCTCAGATCTAGCACGAATTGTTCCTACCCTTGTCGATCTCCAGTCTTCCCTGCTGGCACGAACGTTCTTCAAGGTGCTGCCTCCTCAGCACCCAGCTGAGTGCCTGGCATGTGTGGATCCTGGTTGAATGAGCAGATGAAGACCAGTCTTTATCTAGATGTCAGTTAAGCTGGACCCCAGCCTTCTTCAAACCCACCCCCTGTATTCGCACCCCAGGGTCTTTCTCTGGTGGTTCCTTCCTACCTAGCCCTCAGCCTCTTGCCTCAGTGTTCTGTTTCCACTTGTCAGACCCCCGAAACCGCGGTTCATTTTATAACCATTCCTTTCTTTCCAAACACAACGCAATTGGGGGGTGGGAAGGAGGGTGTCAATGAGAGGGAAAAGAGAAGCATCTGTAACAAAAACAAATTAATAAAAATAATTTTAAAAAACGCAACTTAATTGAGGTAGGTAAGTTATTTACATACCATAAAATTCACACTTTTAAAGGTTTTAGTGAATTTACCAACCCTCACCATAATGCAGTTTTATAACAATTTCGTCACTCCAGTATGATTATCTCTTGTGCCCTATTACAGTTGGTCTCTGTTTACAGCCCCAGCCCCAAATCTGTCGATGTGCCTGTTCTAGATATCTCATGTACGTGGAACCATGAACCATGTGGTCTTTTGTGTCTGGCTTTTTTCACTTCGCCTAGTGTTTTTGAGGTTCGTCTATGTCAAAGCTTCTATCAGTATTTCATTTCTTTTAGTACCGAATAGTGTTTTATTTAATGGACATACCAGTGTTTTGTTTCTTAGTCCAGTCACAAGTGGACGGACTTTGGGGGTGTTTCCATGTTGGGGCTGCTGTGAATACCGTGTGAGTTTTTGTATGGACATAGATTTTTATCTGTCATGGGCATATACCCAGAAGTAAACTGCCGGGTGATCTGGCAAACCTGTGTTAACTTTTTGAAGGACTGTCGGGCTGTTTCCCAGGCGGCTGCGCCGTGTACTCTCCCACCGGCAATGGATGAGAGTTCTGACTTGTCTGATTTTCCGCGTTCTACCAGCACTTGCTGCTGTCTGTGTTTGCACTGTAGCCATCCTGGTGCGTGTGCAGCGGCATTTCATTGTGGTTGCGATTTGTGTTTCTTTGAAAGTTAACGATGCTGAGTATCTTTTCACGTGCTTTGGCCATAGTGTGTAGTTCATTTTATAACGGCTTGATTCTCTTCATTTGCTGAAGGGTGGGTTCCATGGTTTGTTCGGGTACTAAATCTCTGCCACACACAGCACCCTCTCGCTGCAGGTGCCCAGTCCGTGTTTTCTGAGTGAGGGCTCTTCTTCTTGACCGTGGAGGGCGGGGGAGAAACCCACTTTTGCTCTTTAGGGTCACCGCTCCCCCTGCCCGCTGCCCTGGTGGGAGGGGGTGGTGTTATCATTCTCACCCATCTCCTTTCTTCCCATCCCTTTTCTTTTTCCTGTCTGGTTACTTTCCCTTCACCTCTCAGCTTTTACATCGTTAAAAAATTTACTCATCTTTATTGTCCAAGCAGTATTACATTTTTCCTTTGTGGTAAAATGTGCATGACATAAAATTTATCCTTGTGATTTTCAGGTGAGCAGTTTCTTAGCATTTGTCATTCGTACTGCTCTGCGACCGTCACCACCATTCTCCTGGACTTGCATCGCCGCAGACTGAAACCCTGTGCTCCTGAGACACTAACTCCCGTCCCTTCCTCCCCTGAAGCTCCGGCTCCCCGTGCACGCCTCCCTCCCGATCTGGCGACCACAGTACACGTTTTATATGTGATAGTCTCGAGGTCTTCTCAAAGGGGTTCTAAATACATCCTGGTAGTAGTAAGAAGCCAGGAAAAAGGCTAAACTTCAGCGGAGCACTTTCATCTCCTCTGGGCAAGGCAAGCTTTCCATGGGAGCGGTGTTCCAGGTGACCCTCCTCGTCGGCCCCGCAGGGGAAAGAACTTGCTGGTCAGGGAGCCCCCTTTCTCCTGGGCAGCGAACTGCCCAGTGCCAACATCACGAAGTGTCTTGTGTTTTTGTTTTTAATCTTCACCGAGGATATTTTTCTATTTACCTTCAGATAGAGTGG